AAATCACTTTCACATGGTTTGGTAGATAGGGTTCTTCAGAACTTAAGTTATTTTTTATCGTCAATGTAAGAAAACATATAAGTAATAAAATAATACAATACCTTTAACAGCTGATCTGAAGAATCATTGGCTTCTTTATCTAAACATTTAGTTATTGTCTGATGGAGATCCTAAAATAATATAATATACACAAATTAAACACAGCAGTTTCTTTACCATTCTAGCACCTAGCTCAGCATTTAAGGTAATCTTATTGTACTAATGAAATGAAATGAAGTTTTATGTCCTACTGCTCTGTTTCTATTTGCACTAATGAAATGAAATGAAGTTTTATGTCCTACTGCTCTGTTTCTATTTGCACTAATGAAATGAAATGAAGTTTTATGTCCTACTGCTCTGTTTCTATTTGCACTAATGAAATGAAATGAAGTTTTATGTCCTACTGCTCTGTTTCTATTTGCACTAATGAAATGAAATGAAGTTTTATGTCCTACTGTTCTGTTCCTATTTGCACTAATGAAATGAAATGAAGTTTTATGTCCTACTGTTCTGTTCCTATTTGCACTAATGAAATGAAATGAAGTTTTATGTCCTACTGTTCTGTTCCTATTTGCACTAATGAAATGAAATGACGTTTTATGTCCTACTGTTCTGTTCCTAATTGGACTAATGAAATGAAATGAATTTTTATGTCCTACTGTTCTGTTCCTAATTGGACTAATGAAATGAAATGAAGTTTTATGTCCTACTGTTCTGTTCCTAATTGGACTAATGAAATGAAATGAAGTTTTATGTCCTACTGTTCAGTTTCTAATTGGACTATTGAAATGAAATGAAGTTTTATGTCCTACTGTTCTGTTTCTAATTGGACTAATGAAATGAAATGAAGTTTTATGTCCTACTATTATGTTTCTTATTGGACTAATGAAATGAAATAGAGTTTTATATCCTACTGTTCTGTTCCTAATTGCACTAATGAAATGAAGTTTAATGTCCTACTGTTCTGTTTCTTATTGGAGTAATGAAATGAAATGAAGTTTTATGTCCTACTGCTCTGTTTCTAATTGGACTAATGAAATGAAATGAAATTTTTTCTGTCCTACTTCTCTGTTTCTAATTGGACTAATGAAATGAAATGAAGTTTTATGTCCTACTTTTCTGATTGGACTAATGAATACAGCATATTTTTCCCTAGCTAGATCGCGTTACCTTAATGAGTTGTTTCTGGTCATTAACTTCCTGTTGATAAAGATGAACATGTTGCATCATTTCATTTTTCTTTTTTAAATTCGCTGCCTCACGTTTCTTACATTTTGTCATCTCATCCATAAATGTCTAAATGAAAGAAAAATTTTAATAATTTAAAGCCCAAATGTTAACCCATAGAATAACAGGTATGTATCACATGCTCTACAAAAGACTGACTGGGATCTCTCTGTTGGGAAACAAAATGGCATGTGTGTTTTGACTTGTGAAGCCATCTAAAAAATCTTATGGTGTTATAATTCAACAATTTTCAAATTTAAAAGAATTGTCAATGTTACTTAACCAACCATTCTACTAAGAATGAGCTACAAGCTACATCTTATTTATTGAATTTATTAATCAAAATATTTTCAAATTCTTTACCTGTAAAGATTTTTTAAGATCGGACTCTCGATTTCTCCAAGCCTGGGCTTCAATAATCATCTTCTTCATCAAATTCTCCATCTCTTTTATTTTAGCTGCCGTTTTACTGTCGTTTAATAAAGATCGTCTACCTCCTGATTGGACAGTTATTAATAACTCCTGAAAATACACCATTAATTAAGATTTAAAAAAAACCCAACAAATTCAACTACTTAATATTTTGTAAAAAGGCCACCTGTTTCTCAAAATATTTTGATACAAATAAAAATAAGTGCGATTTTGAAATGACACATACCAAACTTGAATATGTTTTTATGTTAGTAAAGTCTTTGAAAGGCACCAGGCAGACTAG